AAAGCCCATTTCGAATTGGCCTAGTTTGACTAGTTAATTAAGGGGGCGGATCTGGGATTAAATCAACAGATAGGATAAAGTCTTACCCTATCCACTCAGAGAGTCCAGATCTGAATTCAGATATGGAAACCTCCTAATGAGATTAGGAGAGAGCTGATCTAATCTGTAGATAAGATAAGGGCTTATCCTTATCTCTTAAAGAGAACTCTTAATCCAAATACAGATTTGGATTAGGAAACTCCTAATGAGATTAAGAGCTCTCTTTAAGCCTATAAAAGGAAGAGGGGGCGAACCATTCAGTTCATCCTCAGCATCCCAAGCTTCTTAGAGATCAGATCTCAGAGCACCCAGAGAGAAGACAGCAACAGTGTGACTGCGCCATCTTCTCCCTACGTTTCCTCCAGTTGCCGCCATACTGCCAGTTCAATCTCCATCCTTTGTAGGAGCGATCAAGAAGTGTCTTGATATCAGTCTTTGGAGAAAGGCTGATCAGAAGTCGTGCTCACTGCCTCCATCGGATTCTTGCTGAAGAATTCGGTTCGTTGGACGGACCCTGCTGATTCTGCTCCACCACTCACTGTGTCATCTTCAGTGGGAGCAGTCTTTGGAGTTTTTCTTTGGGCGTGAACACCTTCGTTGGGAGATACTGCATCTTCGTATAGGTATATCCCTCTCCTACTGTTTTGGTTCAGATCTGGTTCGGTTCTTTGTTCAAGATTGATCATTGAAAAATGCAGTTTTTCTAAAACAGGGAATGTGATTCCCAGATGGGAGAGAGGAAATTTTTGAAATTTCGCCCAACCTATCTGCAGGGCTCGACCATCCATATGATGGATCTCTCATCCCTTCACAATCTATCAAAACTAATTCACAAATATAGATTAGACTTTGGCATAGCCGCCTAAATTATATGGGAGTTAGATGCATATGGGGATTATCTTGTTCATCATGACAGGGAAAGAAATCTAAAAGCATTTAGAGAAATGTCTTGAGACTGTGCCTACAGGACCCATAAATAAACTTTCGGGAGTCTTCAAGGATGAGGACCTGCCTAAGGCAGTGATTACATAAAGAAACAGTACCAATCAGATGATCTTTAACCATCTGAACATGAAGCTCTTTTGCACTTCAATATAAACTTTTCCGCCATCCAACTAAAATCAAATAGAAATTACAGTTTAATCATCTTTAAAACTTTTCCATATTTTCAAAGGATTTAGACAGAATCTCAGATAAGAAAATAGACCCTTTAAAGAACAAAATGTAGACGACCTTCAGAAAGAACTCAAAAAACAAGCACCAACCTTTAGGGTCATATAGTCACGACTCAATATGTGTCTTCCATCCGTCCCAAACTTAATATCTGATATTGAAGTAATTATCTCAGTGAAAAATGATCGTGAACCAGGTGTACCATGTTCCTCAAACCTACAAAGTAATTTAAACATCACTTTCACTTGAATAAACACTGTTTAAGGTATGCAAAAATATAGAGCTAGTTGTCAACTGACATGCATGAGAACCATTAATAAGTCAAAATTCTTACAGTTTAGCATGGGTGTCACACAAAGCTGATTGCCTCATGTCAATAAGTCGTATTGTGCCCTTTGAGCTACTGTACGCTAATGTATTGCAATGGGTAGGATGGAATTCTGCAGATGTTATAACCTCTGTAAACCAATAAAAGATATTACTGAATTGATAAGCCAGCCTGACTGGTTGAAGCAGCAGTAATCAAGTAGATGAAGTTACAAATTATGAATGTGTCCACTTATCCTCCACATCTATGTAACCTAAATACTGATGGATGTGCTGGTATCAAATACAAATAGTGGGATATAGCAACATGGATAAGTGCAATAGCTCAGAATATTTTGCATCCAAGAAAATATAAAAGAAAATGCTTGTATTTAATATACACAATAATAGTTCAATATATAAACGATTATGAAAACACAAATAGACAATGTATCTCAAGATTCATTTCCATACATATCTCCCCTACCATCCTATTAGGCTATTACCACTTGGAAATCCCCTTCAATCTCCCAATTGGATAATCCATCAAGATAGCCAGTTCGAATCCCCGAAGAAGAGCTTGTTTGGTCTTTCTTGAAGTAAAAGGGAAAATTTCAGCCCAAAAGCCCTTGCAATGTGTCCAAGAAAGCCCTAGTCATTCTTCTTTTGTTTAAAAAAGTAAAATCTTTAAGATATAAAAAAAAGAGTAAAATCTTTGAAGCTACGCATCAGTCAGGTGAAACTCCAATATAAAGTGGAGTATAAAGCCAAGATGGACTGGCATAGTGAAAAAAGCAGCAAATCAAAAGTGTTCCCTATCCAAAGAATAGTTCACATTGGTGGCATAATTTCTCCATGTGGCAAAAATAGGAGTGTCATGTAGAAACGATGCTCTCTTACCCAATTTAGCCTACTTTTTTCCATATGTAGAGAACACACATAAATACATTGATATAAACCAAAAGAGGCAGGGGGGAGGAGGAAGAAAACAGCATACCAGTGAGGTCTTCCATATTAACAGGCTTCACATCGACAATGTTGAAACTTTGATTACATATCTCTAAGTTCCACAAATTTATTCGCAAATCATCTGCTGATATGAATGTCTCACCATCACTGAGGATGGTTAAAAAAGAGAAAACAAAAAAGAAACAGAAAATATGAACAGATGAACCAAAATTAAAAGCTCATGGTAGCAGCAAAAGGAAAATTCTTATTTAAACCATTAAGCATCCACGTAACTTCTGCCATCTTGAAAGCAATTCTGATAAATTAAATTTTTTCATCAAATATTATGACAAGTGGAGGTTTTTTTTGATGAATTGACTAGCAGAGATTATCACCAAACACATTAGTTTGCCAGCAGATCTCAAAAAATAAATAAGACCAACCCAGCATTGATGAACTACAAAGTAGAAAATGAACAAAATACTGCATAAAAGATATCATTTTAAGGACAATATAGAGTTTGATAGTGTTTTGGTCATAATTCACAAAAAAAAGAACTTGAGTAGAATTAGGGTTTCCCTATTCAGGGTGTATAAGTATGCACTATGTTTGCTAAAACCCCTTAATTATATTCCTTAGAGGGAATACTCTTTGATTTTGATTTTATGTGAAAGAGCTACTTTGTAAGGGTTAAACCCAATAACAGGTATAAGCAGTCCCATCAGCTTAGACTCTTAGTGGGTTATACCCATGAGTGGGCCCCACAATTGGTAGATAGGTCATGGGACCCATACACCATTGGGTACGTATGTATTTTAAACTTATACATCTTAACGATGAGTCCCGTTAATCGGTAAAAGGTGAGACCCACTATACTGATTTGGTAGTGGGCATGACCCACTTTAATATTTTAACAGTGGGCCCCACAAAAAGGTGGGCCCCACTGATATATACTGTTTAAATAGTGAGCATGGCCCGCTTTAAACTTAAATGTTCCAACAGTGGACCCACATGGAACTGTAAAACCCTTCAGTGGGTTATATGCATACCCTAAGATTAACAGTGTGTACTATTTTTTTATCTTAATTAGCATAAACAACTCTAATGGTTGTACTGCAACTTTTACAATAACAGTTTACTCCTTTTCACAATTAAAAATACTTGTACTTGTGTTTCTTGGTTTACCAGAATGCATGGTAAAACCAACAGACTTAAACATCACCTATGTGACACACCAAAGTGCATCTGAATTTGCACTTACAAAATATTGTACCAATAACAATACTTTAACCCATGGCCAAGGAGTGCAAGTTGAGTTCCCAATTTGAAGAATTTCCAGTGTCAGGCACTGGCTCTTGGGCCGGGTCCATTCAAATTTTAAGAAACTTGGAACCCTATCCCACCCAAGTTGCGTCCCCACCATGGCCCCTGACCTCTAAGACACTGAATAAGAGATTATAACATTATAGCCTCCAACTTTAACTGCTTTTCACCTGGGCACCTAAATCTTTCGAAGGCCTAGCTGATTCTCTACTCGGATTGGGGTGAATCAGGAAGAGCTTAATTGGAAAATACCAAGCTAGGGAATAAATTTGTAACTCTAGGAAGAAGTTATAAATGATCGTATTGGCAACCTATTGTTTTTTTTACTTGCTTGTAATTCCATTGTGTTCAAATGTGTGGTTTTTTCTACTCATTTTATGACATAATACAATCTGATTGCTATTTCCAGAACAAAGAAAGAGGATCTCACATCATGAACATGAGAGAACATAATCATATTTACTTCTGTAGAGGAGATGGGCCGAATGGCCCATAGACTGTCATTTCATGTTATGTTATGTTTATCTCTGTTATGGGCCATATTCTGGGCCCATACTCTGTAATGTTCTGTTTTTTGTATTTTCCTGCCCACTCAAGGGCCTCTCTGTAATTTGTCAAAGATTAACTTCTTAATAAGATGTTTAGAGTGTTAGAGAGAGGTTATGTTCGAACCTCTTACTCTCTAACACTCATTGCCGCCGGCTCTCTCTTCTCTTCCTCTCTTGTTTGTTTATTTTCTGGTTTGCATCTAATCTCAAACAGTTCCCTACATCAAGTGGACTGTTTTTCAGCTACTTCTAAAAAGGGAACAAAAGAAATAGGCTCAAGCATACCTGTTGTTTGAAATGGAATTAATATGATAATCATGTGCATGTGCATATACTCTTCGACATCTAGGAAGAAGATTTGTCTCATGGCCAATGATCTGCTAAAGAGAAAACAAAGAAACACATCTTTTAAAGAAAATTTCAAGTTCAGTCTCAAGGAACTGATTTGTGGAGCCAGCCAAATTAAAATTTTACTTACTACCTAATGGATGACAGCAAAAACTTGCAAGCAAACAGAGATTTAAGAGTCAAATAAATAAAGCAATAAAAAATGCTTACCAAGAGATGATGGACAATAAAATTATAAGAGGGAAGGAAAGACTGAAAGATTCAAAAGCCCATAGTTAACTCTTAGGAGGACATATTCACTGGTTACCATGGTTTACAATTTTCAAAATAAATCCTGCAATTTCAGTTTTGATCATTATTCAGAACATTTTTTATCAATATTTAGAGTATCCTTTATATATATTTCCAGTTTCAAATATTTCTGCAGGAGATTTCAGAAAATTCTCTGAAATGATGCAATGCTTCATAAGAAATTTCCATAAACACTGAAATTTCGACTGTAGCTTAAATAGATGAAAAAATACATAACCTCCCAATCTCTCCCAAGTTTTTTCTGGATTGCTTACTTCTTCCCAAAGAATTTATAACATCAATGCATGAATTTTCATTAAAAATAATTACATTATGTTCTTTCCAAAAATTTATATATCATAGAAACATGGGTAAACGATACATAATTTATTGTAGAAGTTTAGTTGATTTGGTACATGAATTAACAAAAATACATGTCCACATAGACACCATTTAAAAAAATTATATATAAGAATGTTATTTTAATATTTCATAAGTTGTCTTTGTTGTTGTTGTTGCTTGAAGAATAATTCAAGAAATAAGCAAAACAACAGATGATAAAGTTGTTTATACCATATATGGAGAGAGAGAGAAAGATGAAAAACTACATTGCATGCATTCTAAAGTACTATGACAGTTAGATTGAATACTTAGCTTGCTAGTAAATATATTAATTTTTAAAACCAATCATATATGTAGAACTTTTATAACTAAGATATTAAATTTGACCTAATATTTACTAATAATATAAAAGATTGGGGCACTAGAATAAATAATACTGCACAAGTAGAGAAGATCAATTTCCTTCCATGTCATGGAAATCCAGCTTTTAGATCAAATGATAGGTATACAGTTGTAACTGTTGAGCAGGAGAAGAAGGAGAAGAAGAAAGGAGGAAGGAAGAAGAAGAAGAAGAAGAAGAAGAAGAAGAAGAAGAGGCTACTGAGTTAAGGCCTCAAAAGAACAGCTTCAGTTGAGTGAAGCATTGTATTTATACTATACTGGCCGTACAACACAATAGGTCTACAAAATTACAAAAATACCCCTGCGGGCACTAAACCTGTGTACAATACATATAATACACCTGTCAACACTCCCCCTCAAGTTGGGGCATAGATATCAATCATGCCCAAYTTGTCACAGAGACCTTGGTGTCTGGAATGGTTTAGCCCTTTTGTAAAGATGTCTGCTAGTTGGTCTTTAGAGCTGATGTATGGAGTGCGTACTTCGCCTGTGATGATTTTCTCTCTGATAAAGTGATTGTCAACTTCAATGTGCTTTGTTCTATCATGTAGTACCGGGTTGGCAACGATACTTATAGCTGCCTTGTTGTCACAGAGTAGAGTCATGGGTTTATCTACTAGAAAGCCCAACTCTCCCAATAAATTCTTTATCCACATACCTTCGACTACTCCGTGTGCCATTGCACGTTACTCAGCTTCAGCACTGGATCTAGCTACCATGGTTTGCTTCTTACTCCTCCAAGTAACAAGGTTCCCTCCTACAAAGGTGCAGTAACCACTAGTAGACCTTCTGTCAGTTTGAGATCCAGCCCAATCCACATTTGTGTAAATTTCAACTCTCAAATGTCCATGTTTCTGGAATAATAAGCTAGCACCCGAGAACTTCTTAAGATACCGCAGTATTCTCTCCGCTGCTTCAAGATGAGTGGACCTAGGTGCATGCATGAACTGGTTGAGGACACCAACAACATATGCTATGTCTGGACGAGTCATAGAGAGGTACAACAATCTCCCTACAAGCCTCTGAAATTGCTTCACATCCTTAAGAGGTTCACCTTGGCTGTCACTTAACCTATGGTTGGGGTCAATGGGAAAGTCAGCTGGTTTAGCCCCAATCTTTCCAGTGTCCTTAAGCAAATCTAGGACATATTTCCTTTGGAAGATGAAGATTCCCCTTTTTGATCGGGCAACCTCAATTCCAAGGAAGTATTTGGCGGGTCCTAGATCTTTCACTTCGAACTGAGTGGCAAGGAAGTTCTTCAAACTTTGAATTTCATCCTTCCAGTCACCAGTAACAATTATGTCATCCACATATACTATTAGGGCAGCCATTTTACCTTCTACTCTTTTTATAACCAGTGTATGATCTGACTGACATTGCTTGTATCCCCTCTGCTGAATTGCAGTATGAAATCTGCTGAACCAAGCTCTTGGTGATTGCTTCAGCCCATATAAAGACTTCTTCAACTTGCACACCTTTTGTTCACTTCCTTGAGCCAAAAAACCGGGGGGGTTGAACCATATAAACTTCCTCTTCAAGGTCACCATTCAAGAAGGCATTCTT